TAAAAATCCCAATTGTGCACAGTGAAAGTCGAGCAGGAGACGACCATGAAAAGCACTGAGGTCATTTCTGCTCCTCAGAGAAAGAATCAAACAGAGAGCTTACATTAGCTAACATAAGCTAACGTTAGCTTCACAACTCTGAAGCCTGAAAGTCCCGATTCACAGGTTTATAGGTTTATTAACTTAAAAGAGCTGGGAAGAGACGAACACGGTTCACTCTCTGCAGCAATCAGCTGGAACATTTAAAGAATGTGTCCATCGTTTCATTGGAGGATTTTGTTTTTTTCTGTGTGACTGAGGTGCACACACCCAGGAAAATAAAACGTTCAAAAAAGTTAGCAAAGAAGCTGGTGGAAATTTTGACAAGCAACAATCACGGTCGCCTGTTGCAATCGTCATTTCTGCTCAGTGCACAACAGCAGTGTCTGATCTGGGACAACAATACCCTGTCCAAATTCTCGCACTACGTCAGTGAGTACTGACTGAAGTATCCAAGTTGAGAGACAGCGGTACAGACAGGAGACAAGGTACGGTGGCTGTGATGTGCCAATCCAGAGAGTGAATCAAATAAAGCTGCTGTATCACAGACAGAGGTCTGAGGTAAAATAAAATGTCACAGAGAGAAAAAAAAAGACAGAAAGAAATGAGCAAAAAGCAAAGTGAGGTGAGAAAGACAGAAAAGAGCATTTTGTTAAAAAAGGAGGAAGAGGAGGATAGAAGAGCAGAGAGCAGCAGATGTGAAGAGAGAGAAGTAAGGGAGACAAGTTTGAGATGAGTTATCTGACTAATGAACTCCTCTTATCTCTCAGCTGTGAGGACGACAGGCAGAGACTCACTGACAGATTGATAGACAGGCTTTTGTCCTCGGGTGAGAAGCTGCTTCCACGTCTCAAAAACTGTAACTAGTGAAATAAAACGCCAGTGAAACGACTCTCACAGCTGAGGGTCTAAACACCATGTTTCTGCTGTTTACTACTAACGACAAAAACTACACAACCAGTGATCTGCTGCTCAGAGAAAGGATGAGGAGACCTTCATCATCGTCTCAGTGCATCAAGCAGGACCTCATCAGCCAGAGTGACTGTGTGTGTGTGTGTGTGTGTGTGTGTGTGTGTGTGTGTGGGTGTGTGGGTGTGTGTGTGTGTGTGTGTGGGGGGGGTGTTGGCAGCCTGCCAGAATATAATTACTATCTCCATTAGAAAGCTGTGATCATGTTTAACACTCACCTCTGACACACACAAACACAAACACACACTATGAAGACTTTGATCATTGTGAGTTTTTCACAGGTGTGTGTGTGTGTGTGTGTGTGTGTGTGTGTGTCAGAGCCCAGCCCTGACCTTTGACCCTGATATTCCCACGACAGACCCCTACCTCTGATCTTACAATCTTATTTTAACTACAACTATGTTAACACTACAACTATTTTTACATTTCTTATGTATGTATCTTCTTTTGACATTTATTTTGAATAGTTTTTCTGCATGTGTTTGTTGCTTGTTTTATTTTTGATTTGAAAGTTCAGTCTCTGCCCCGCCTCTGTGTCCCTGCCTGCAGGCTGGTCTCTTGTCCTGCAGACGGACTGTAACTCCACTGTCTTGGACTGCAGCTGGTGACGGTGGTTCTTCTTCTGGCCAGGTGGAGAACTGGTTCATGTGAAACTAAACCAAACTCAGCGAGGCTGCAGAGCAGAACGAGGACTTCTGATACATTTTAATTTTAACAGCATTTTAAAACTGAAATGAGCTCCATCCAGACGAGCATCTTAGCTCTGTATCATGTTGTATTAACCACTGGTAGTCCAGGCTGATGAGACCCAATCAGGGAGCTACCCTGGGGGTCTACGTCATAGTTTCCAAATTGCTCAGTTTCTGTCCATCCAGACTAAAACGCTACGCTGGAGTTTTCAAACTAAAACAGTGTCAGTGGTGATTTAGGGGCTTGAAGACCCCGGGGTTGTGTGGACGGCAGAAGTAAACGTAGCAGTGATGTGTTTTCAAACTAAAACACAGTAGTGTAGATGTGGCCTAAGATGGTTTTGGGATGTGAGGCCCTGGAAAAGAAGGAACGATGGAGAACTTGCCTGACTCTCATTTCTCGACTGCCCCCTATTTTAGATTTTTTTTTTTAACAGTGTTGTTCTGTTGCAGAAGAGGTGGTGGAGACCAAAGCACAGCTAAAAGAGAGTGAGCACCACTCTGATGGGAGGATCCTGTGTCTCTGTGTCTGCTGGATAGTGAGCAGCTAACTAACTACTTCATAGTGTGATAATCTGTTATCATGTTCTCTCTGTCAGATCTAGACACTGTTTCCTGATGCTTTGTCTTTTTTTAACGAGTGCAGCCACTTTAGAAATTCATTTGTTGTGCAGTGAAGAGCAGAGAAAAATCTGTTTCGCTGCTCTGTATTCTCCACAGTTACTGCTGCACTGATTTGGCTGGTCGAGTCCTCGCTCTGTGTGTGTGTGTGTGTGTGTGTGTGTGTCTGTGTCTGTGTGAGCGTGTGTGTGCGCGAGAGCTCCTTTCAGACAAACAACAAAAGAGCTTTCAGATTCAAATCCAGTCCTACAACACAGATGATGGAGAGAGTTCAGAAAAAGGGACACAGGAGAGAGGGAGAAAGTCCGACTGGCTAAAAGAACATCTCCCTCTCGACTCTTTTCAAGTGACGTTGTCATGGCAACCGTGCACGATGCTGATTATTATCGACTAATGGAGGCGAAAGAGCAGCTACAGATATGCAGATGGCGACTATCTATCTATCTATCTATCTATCTATCTATCTATCTATCTATCTATCTATCTATAATGACACAGTTATAAAAACAACAGAGCAAAGATCTGAATTCTATATTGATTATTCCAATGATCAGTGTTTAGGGTTCAGCTGTAGAGACAGTGGTGATTCAGTAAAGGTCAGAGAGTTCACCAAAATCAGTAGGGTTCACCCTCTGGGGAATACGACTATACAAAGAAAAATTCACAAAAATCTGGAGAGTAGATTGTGAGATATGTGAGTTTTCCCAACAGCAATGTGTAAAAGATTAACTCCTGCATATATTTACCGTATTCCCTCAGGTGTGGTCTATCAGTATAAATCCACTCTCCATAAAACTTATCAGTATTTACCAGTTCACTGTCACAGTCATGTGCTGTAGTAAACTTCAGATCATTTGTGACGCTGCTGATGACCCTAACAACACAATGTCAGCTCACACTCGATACATGGTCTTCATCAGCAGATGAAACTATTTACTCTTTCTATTGTTCCATTATTTCAACTACGTCCACACTACTACGTTTTAGTTTTAAAACTCATCACTATTGCTACGTTTACTCCTGCTGTCCACATGACAATCAGGGTAGACAATCTGCTTCCTGTTTGCACCGGCTCGCACATGCCCAGTGTGCGTGAATGGACATGTGATATGTGTTTTCAGGTGTGATAGTACGGATGGAGATTATTTCTTGACGGAGATCAGTTTCGTTTTAAAACGAGAATGTAGTTGAGTGGACGAAGCCTCACTGTTGAAGGCGACATGGGAGAGACGTCATCTACACCTGAGCTCCTCCACCTGCTGATGCAGACTGTGTGATGTGATCACCAGCTCTGGGACAAGTGAGTAAATGCATCTGGACTTCAGACTTGTTTCCAAGGTCACGGCTGAGCGCAGTGTTTAGGCCTTCAGTATAAAACAACAGGAAACATCATTGACGCGTCACTCTTCGAAAGAGTTGAAAATGTTGCAGCACTTTTTGTCAGGAAGGTTTGATACACTGCACGGATCAAATGGATCGTTACTATCTCCCTGACTCTGACCGAGCATGACAGAGGAAATCGGAGCAGAAACCAGCGTGGACCGACCACAGTAAACCTCGCACTGAGGTGTTGTGTTGTCGAGGGGCTCAGGTTTGGATAAAAGAAGATAAAGATGGATCCACACAGAGCTCACAGCTGACGTGGCCCCTGGCCCTCGACTGTTCAAAACCTTTCATCTGATGAAACCCTACATGAAAAAGGTTTTCACCTGAATTCATGTTCCCTTGCATCATCAGTCAGCATGAAGTTTGAGACCAGAAGTGATCTTCCTCAGGCAACGATGCTGGTGATCAGCTCCACATCACCAGACACATGATCTTCAGGCTGAACGAGCAGCTGAGTTTTCACATAAACACATCGATGGTGCAGCTGTAGCTACCCTGAAGGTTTTAATATCTGAGCTACAAAACAGCAGAAACATGAAGACAACACTCAGGTTTCAACTTCTGATCATATAAAGCAGAGGAAGAGGAGGAGGAGGAGGAGGAGGAAGAATGGGAAAGTTTCCAACTTGTGCAGTGACTGAGCCACTGAGGCGCCTCAGAAACAAGATCCACTGAGAGAGAGAGAGCAATGGCACGCTACAGCCTACTGGGCCTCTGGCATCATTTGGCAGTGTGTGTGTGTGTGTGTGTGTGTGTCTGTCTGTGTGTGTGCGTGTGCGTGTGTGCCTCCTGCAGTCAGCCTCGTTGCCAGCAGCAGGCTGAACTAATCAGTTAGCAGACTAGCTGCAGCGCTGCTTGACCTTTTGACCTCTGGCTGCTCTGACCGACACATTCAAACATGAAAACAGCAGAACCTGCAGAGCAGAGACTCACAGGCACACACGCACATGCACACACACACACACACACACAAACTGCTGCGGCACAACAGCACACAACACAACACAAACTATCAGCTATGTAAAAGCTTTTTCACACACCAAATGTACCCAAATGTAACCATGGATACAGATGAGAAACAAACACCTCAGTGATTTGTGTGTCTGCTTGTGTGTGTGCGTGTGTGTTTTGATGATGGATGTGGTGACTAACCAGTTGTAGCGGCCCAACAAACCAAAAAATTCATCACACACACACACACACACACACACACACACACAGACTAATTACTAATTGGTTTTGTGTATGTGTGTGTGTGTGTGTGTGTGTGTGTGTGTGTGTGTGTGTGTGTGTTACCTTGTGCAGATGCTCTGGAGTGTAACCGGTGTTTGACAATGTTCAGCTCAGCAGAGACCTGAAACAAACACACACAAACACAACAGAGACAACATCAGTAAACAGCACCAACAGTGCGACAGTCCTGACAGCGCCCCCTTCAGGCTGCACTCAGTTATCATGGGAGTGTAAATGTTCCATGCTGACCGTTTCCAAGGTCAAGAATTAACAGTCGCGCCACGTCTGAACAGCAGCAGCTTCTCTGCTCTGTGTGTGTGTGTGTGTGTGTGTGTGTGTGTGTGTGTGTGAGAGAGAGAGAGTGGTTGGTGCGTTCAGGCGCAGTACTAAGTGTAGTTCACCATCACCAGTGAAAATAAAAATAAAAAAAACTCCCAAGAAATAAAATAAGCTTCAGGTCGCGTTTTGAGTGTGAACAGTGAAAGTAAAATGTGAGCAGTTACGTAGGAAGTTGTGTGAGAAGAACAATTTAGAGACACGGCTGAGACACTTCCTGTGTAGACACTTCGTCAAACTCAACTTCACCTGCTGATGAAGACCCTGTGTAACAACTGAAAGCAGATGGAGTGAGTAAAAGGACTGCTGGAGACTGTTTCCTCTGATTTTTTCACCTCATGTGCAAGACTGTCCTCCCCAAAAACACTTCCACCTCTCCCCCCAAACAACCAGGTTTCCTGACGAGCGCCCTCTAGAGGTTCAGAGAGTATGAAGTAAGTGAGACATACAGCCGCAAAACTAAGAAGTAGTCAGAGAACAGCCCTAAAAAAGCAAAATACAGCAACTACACATTTGGTCAAATTGAGTTTAAACCTGTTCTACTGTTTTTTGTTTTACTATATAAACAAATGTGTTGCCATAGAAATGTGTAACTTCCGTGAAACAGTTTTTTTTGTTATATGCAGTTACTAAGCAAAACACTGCTTGCTGTTTTCTTGCTCCATTATCTGAGACCCCGCTATACTGTCATTAAGAAGACGCCTGGTTTCGCAGCCTTTGCTTGTTTACACTGAGCCAAACAAAGCCGCCATGAGTTTGATGTTAGATAGTGTGCTAGTGTTCAGGAATCAGCCGTGACGTGCCAGCTCTTCCTTTTACACAGACGTCAATCCGGCTCTGTGACGATCTCCGCAGCCGGTTTAAAGGCTCTCCCATCTCAATCTAAAACCTAAAAAGTCATAAAATGAAAGTATTATAACCTCTCTCTGTGTTACAGTTTACTGTCCATCAGTGTTATTTTCTCCCCCTCTCTGCTCCTGTAGTTACTCCTCTCTGCCTGTGAAGGGCAAAGTAGCGCAGAGGTGTTCGAGATGTGGAAAAGATTTCTGCTTCTCTGTAGAGCTGACGAGCATCTGTGCTGAGGAACAGGACAGTGTTGTATCCTGACATGTTGATGCAGGTCATAGGTCGCCGCTCTGCGGGACCCTTTAGAGAGGTGGGTGGGACTCTGATGCACAACACAGTGATCTCCTCCCAACACTCACTGTGGATTTCTTTTGACAGCAGGTCTCACTTTGTCTTCACACTCTCATTTTAGCTTCAGTCCTTTCATGTGGTTTTATGTCGTTAAAAGTTTGATGGTCCGATCATGTTTCAGCTCACAGATTCAATGAATCTCTGTCGACAGGAAACACTTGTCGTGTTCGTGTTTTCTCTTGTTTGAAATCCGTGAACTGTGACCAGCCTGCAGCCCGAGGCGTGCAAATGTTTTCATGTTACACCAACCAAAATAGACTCACATTAGAGGCTCATTAGAGCTCAGCTGTGAAACCAACCTGTCTGTGATCCACAGGACGCTCAGCAGTTCCAGACCTCCTGTAAACGGTTTATGTTTTGCTGTGGAATAATCCAGTTTGTTTTCTGCAGACTTCATGAAGCCTATCTAAGGATGTCTTGTATAAAATAAATCATCTAGATTTATAAAGGACCTGTTAACAGTAATTATTAGTAAGAGAGCATCGCCAACAACAATAAATAAAGTTATTAGGCAAATAATGCATGACATGCTACAAGTTAGTGTAAAGCCTCTTTTACACGGGTCAAAAACACTGAGGTACAATCGGCATTTACACCCGCATCAAACGACTCGGCAGTAGTCAGGGGTATTTATCCGCTCTGGCGTAGATCAGCAGTGATGCAAACACAACATCCGGGTGAACACGCTAATTTTTCAGTGGAGCTGATTCTCCTGTTGCTGCCGTTAAACCACCACGGAAGAAGATAAAGTCATTAAGAGATCCAGTCAAAGTTCAGATGATGAAAAACTTGATGGAGATCTGACATTTGTTTGCTTCATGTGTTAATAACATCATCGCTCCACACTGATCTGATTTATTCACTCAGTCTGTTTCCAATTCAGTTTTTTATACATCAATTTTTCCACCTCAGACAAACACACACACACACACACACACATTCCCTGATGGTTGGTCAGTTGGCACGGAGATAGTGACACCATGGTAACAACTGCTAGTGCTCATCCTCCACCTGAGACTGTGTATCTGTGTGTTGTAATTACTCCAGTGAGGCAGTATGCCAGAGATGCAGGCCTTTGGGGAAAAACACACACACACACACACACACACACACACACACACACAGGGAGAGTAATGGAACAGTAAATCAATATGGTGACAGGAAGTTGGCGAGGCTGACAGGAAATGGAGAATCTCTCCAGGCGACTCTTCTTCTCTGCTGCTTCAGTGTATCTATGTGTGTGTGTGTGTGTGTGTGTGAGTGTGTGTGTGTGTGTGTGTGTGTGTGTGTTTGTGTTTACTCTATTAACCTTTTTCCACCAAAATTAGCAGTTATATACTCTTTTTTTCAATGCTAATAAAAGCCGATTGATCCTTTTCTGCTGCCGGTCGAGTTTGTCTTTCTGTTCGGACTGAGGACCCAAACAACCGCACAGAGTGATGTCATCACATGCATTTATAGAGCGCACACGCAGACACAGTGGAGAGACAGTGAGCTGCTAGCTGCTGTGCAAACTGATGAAACGGATCTGTCACATCTGAATCCCGGGTTGGTGCTCCTGTAAAAGTGTCTCGGCCTCCGTGCGAGACGCTTCGATTGGTGATAGCGTGTATTGATAACTTATTTTGAAGCTGCGCTCACTCTCTTATCCCCTAGCGCAGTGTAGCCGCAGTGTTTCTGGTTTAACAGCACCGTGATGGACAGGTGACGGGTCTGTTTACAGTGTCTGTGCTCTGAGGCGTTACAGCTGGGAAATGGGCGAAAAATAGCGGGTTCACCCGGGTGTTCTGTTTACATCGAGGCTGATCGGAGCCGATCGGAGCTGGAGCTCATAAGCTCATAAGCTACTGCAGAGTCATTTAACCCAGGTGTGAATGCTGATTGTTCCCTTTTCCATTGCTGACAAAAGCCCAATGTTAGTGGGTCTAAGAGGGTTTTTTGACCAGTGGAAAAGGGGCTTATGAGAACTTTTGCTGCAAAAAAAAAAAAAAAATGTATCAAATGTTCTTTCAATAGAGCGACTGTGAACGTCCTGTAAAGGTTTTTATTATCAGACCCAGTTCTTCATACAGTTTAGATACAGTCTGTAAGTGATTGTAGTTTTCATTGCTGAAGGACTCGCAACGTCCCAAGGTCTTTGCCTCAGTGTCTCTCCTGTGCTCCCTGCAGCACCAACACTGCCCAACACTAGCTAATGTTAGCTTACAAATGGAGTCCGCTAACGTCAACAAACGACTCCCAGTACAACACTGACTCTATTCTAAAGAACAAAACGTTAGTCAAACTATAGTCTCACATAGCCAGACCTAAACCGACCTGTAACAGTGTAACTTTAGCTACCTCATCTACCAACATGGGTCAGGTTCAGTCTCGTGTGGTCCGACTCGCCATCAGGAGAACGCTGAGTGCAGTTCCCTTAACAGCCACTAGTGTCACTCATGAGAGAGGTTTTGTGGATGTTATATATAGAAGCTTTAAAGCATCACAGAGCCCAAGGACAGAGTGTTTCCCAGGATTTATCTCCAGTCTTTCTCTGCATTGTTGTAATCTCCCTCTCTGGTGTAGAGTTTCTGAAACAGCAGCAGCAGAGAGCCAGAGGGAAGATTTAGTTTGTCCTCCGCAGAGCAGGGGACATTTGTCTTTTTTATTTATTTATCTTTTTTTTTGTTACAAATAGCTGGAGGCTGAATGAAGCAGCGGTCATGAGTTACACTCAGCACCTCCTCCTCCTCCTCCTCACCTCCCTCTGCTCTCCCACCTCCTCTTTCCTCTCACCTGTCCTCCACCTACACCTGGTAGCCTGCTGACCTACACACAGGAGAGCTGTGTGTGTGTGTGTGTGTGTGTGTGTGTGTCACTGTGAGTCCCTGAGGCGATACTCTCCACCATACAAGCAGCTGTTTCCCTCAGAGCAGGAGGAGAAGCAGCTGCTGCCTCTCTCAGCCGCACTGTGAATTCACTGAGCCACCGCCTCAGTCGCCCTCAGTCAGGTCACGACTCTGCTCTTAAACCTGAAGATAAGAATAATGTTTCTGCAACAATACTCAACCATGCCTGTGTTATCTATGCTGAAGAACAGGATATAGTAGGTCGCACACCTCCCAAATTTCACGAATTGGTTGTTCCACCTTCCTATAGGACGGGGAGTTTGTACTGTAACCAAAGAAAAGCACATTCAGAGATAAACATCTTTAAAGAACATTTGTGCATGTTCACTCACAGCCCTTTTCCACTACATGATCAGCTCGACCTGACTCGACTACATTCATTGCGTGTCAGTAATGAAAATAATACGGCAGCAACCAACACCACAATATGGAGGGAGAGGATTATACTTTTAAATGCAAGTATTTGGTTTCAGCTCAATTCAACAGCTAATGGTACAAGTGTTAAAACCAAGGGCCGTAAAACCCCAAGTTTTTGTGAAAAAAAACACGCATATGTTGTCAAGGCTGCTAGGGCGACAGGAGCCGTGCAAAGCAGAAAATCCCCCGCAGTTCAGTTCTGCCATCGTGGTCTACGACGGCTACAAAGGGCCAAGCCTTCATAGACTGCGTCCTCTGAAGGATGCGGCCCCTGAATTGTGAC